CGCCATGTGGTCTCCTCCGGGGCAGGCGGGATTTGAACTCATGCGGAAGTGGCTTTAGCTTCTCAGTGCAGTGCTTTAACCCGCTGCGCCACCAGGGAGGGCCATATTTTTAAGAAACCTATATATCTTGGGAGAGAAATTTATAAAGAACAAATAAATGTAAGAGTGTGATTCTGTCACAGTGGTATGAAGGGCAAGTAAGGTAGGAATCCAGAAGAACTAGAGTTTCCTCTAGATATCTTTTAAATGCTTATTCTGCACCTGAGGTGAGCTATGCAGTTGGACTCAGTTCCATCTTAAGTAGGTAAGTAGAGATTTGTTTATGTATATGCAAAGTGTTTACATAAATATGGAGAAGGATAAAAGACAAAACCTGTAAGGTTGTCATGAGCCTTTAATCCAAGTTGACATTATTCTACTAATCATTCCATTGTGAATATTGATGCTTAACCAGCCACAGATCCACTTATGCCATCATTCTGACAGTGTTTCTTTATTTGCCTCATTTGACTGCAAGTCAAGTGTATTTTTTTTGTGTGTGTGCTAGAAACTTAGGATATTTGTGGCTTATTACTTGAAACCTCATGAGAAATTTTATTAAATACTTTAGAAATCAGGATGTCCTCCTTGTGATTACTTTGGCCTGGTTTTTCCATGCTTTGCATGTCTTATGTGGCTCAAAAACTTTAAATGATAGGTTATGGAATGGTGCTGAGAATTCATGTTAGGAATTTTTTAGATTCTGGAATTTGACTTTTCCACTTTTTTTGGGCACTATTTATTTCAATTTCCTCTTGTACATCTGGTTTTTCATCTTTTTTCGGAGATTACTGGATGGTAATTCCCCAGCCATTAGTTTGAAATCTATTATTTTCTTTTGCTTTATGACCTAGCAGATGATTCATTTTATAAATGTTCTGTGGGTTCTTGAGAGGTACTCGAATTCTACAGTTACTGAATGTAGTGCTCTATGTGTATTTTTTTTAAAGATTTATTTATACATAGAAGAAGTGGGGTACAGGTCAGAGGTGCAGGGCGAGAGAGGATTCACCAGAGACAGAGTGGGGAGCAGAACAGGCAGATGTATTGAAATATACTGCTAGGGGAGCAGTGGGTGAGACAGGAAAGGTCCGCTGCACCATGTGGGTCACCTCCCTGGCTGGGGATAGAATTTGTTCTGCAGTGGCTGCAGATAGCTTCATAGGGCTGCACTTTAAGCCCTTGTGCCAACAGGGAGGCCCCTCTGTGTGTATTCTTGATTACGTTTATTATGTTGCTCAGATCTCAGAGCTCTATTGAGTTTTGGTTCTTGAAATCTGTTAGCTAAATTTCTGCCTACTATTAGTCTACAGTTTCTTTATGTATTTTGAGTCTGTGGTTATAAATGCATGTACCTTTGAAATTTTTGGTTCTTCCTAGAGAAGCAAGCTTGTAATGCTCCACTGAGTTATTGCCTACTGTTATTTAATAAGCAAAGAAAAATGACTGCTACAAGTTTATATTCACCTTTTGGTATAAGGTTTTGAGTCAATTAAAATTTGATTCCCTACTTTTCCTTTCAGGTTATCAGTTGATTGGGAGCCACTCAGGGGTGAAGCTTTGCAGGTGGACAAAGGTATTTATTATCTGCTCACAAGTTAATTCTTTTTGTAAAATTTTGTGTGGTTCTTATTTGCAATCAATAAGTTGTACCATTTAAGGATATAATTTACATGTAATAAAATATAGTGACATTGAGTGAAATTTGTTCAATGCAATGTCAGCAGTTTTTCATGGATGTAAAAAACCTTTTCCACCACTCAAATTAAAATATAAACTAGTTTTTTTGGCTCTCCCTGGTGGCACAGTGGGTTAAAGCACAGCACTGAGAAGCTAAAGCCACTTCAGCATGAGTTTGATTCCCGCCCGCTCCGGAGGTGACCACATGGCGCGTCAGACCTCTCCTGGCCCGCCCGCTGCTCCCCTCAGCAGTGTACTTCGTCGATCTGCCTGTTCTGCTCCCCACTCTGTCTCTGGTGAAGCCTCTCACCGCCCCTGAGCCTCTGGCCTGTACCCCAGTTCTGTATGCACAAATAAATAAATCTTTAAAAAAAATATATATATATAAACTAGTTTCCTCATTCCAGTAAGTTGACTTCTGCCCATTTCTAATCAGCATCTTCCTCCTCCTCAGCCAGACAACAGTTATTCTAGGTGCTATCACTGCAGTTTTAGTTTGCCTGTTCTGGAATTTCTTGTGAATGGAGTCATATTATATGTTGTCTGAGTGCTTTCTTCAACTCAGCATTTTTCTAAGATTCATTTATTTTGTACTTTTTATTCTTTTGTATTGTTGAATAATAAATATTCAATAATAGGAGCATATTGGAGTTTTTAAACTGTTGATAGACATTTGGGTTATTTTAAAATTTTCATCTATTATGAATAGAACTGCTATGAACAGTTTCATGTAATGCTATTTTGGTGAACATATGTTTCAATTTCCTTTGGGTACATAACCTGGGAATGGAATTGCTATGTACAGAGTAGGTATATATTTAACTTTATAAAAAATTCCTAATCTGTTTTCAATGTGTTTGTACTATTTTATGTTTGGTATTGGCAATTTGTGAAAGTTTGGTTGCTATATTTTCTCATCATCTTGTGGTATATTTGCGAGGCTTTTGAATTTCATACTCAAGTGAGTATGAAGTAACTGTGTCATTGTGGCTTGCTGTGTATTTTGTTGATTACTGCTGATGATGAGGAATACCTTTTTGGGTGCATTTTGGCCATTCATATCATTTGCTCAAATTGGGTTTTTGACTTTATAGTGTTATTTGCAATTCTTCAATTATGTGGATATGAGTCTTTTGCCAGATTTATGTTGTGAATATTTCCTCCTAATCAGCCATTCATTTCTTTTTTTCTTTTTTCAAACATTAGCTTTTGAAGTTTTTAATTTGGATCAAGTTCAGTTTACCTGTTTCTCTTTTGTGGTTTGTGCTTTTTTTAAAATTGAAGTCACAATGGTTTATAACATTGTATAGGCTTCAAGTGTGCATTTTTACAAATCATGGCTAGTGACATGTATTTTGTATATTAAGAAAACTTTCTCAACTTCAAGGTCACAAAGATATTTTGTCTTTTCTTCTGAACTTTTCATACACACTTTCAACTTTTCTGTTTTGGTCTATGGCTCATGGTTAGTTTTTTTTTGAGTGGTCTGAGTTAAAGGTCAAGATTTGTTCCTCCTTGTTCCCCATGTGGATATTCAGATACTTTAGCATGCTTTCTTGAAAAAAGACTTCCCTTTCATTATTGTATTATTTTTAGGAACTCGTAGATCAAACCAGTCTTATTTCTGCATTCTTATTCTATCTTATCGATGTGTTTGATTGTCCTTTTGCCATTCCATGTTATTTTGATTACTGTAGCTTTATAGTAAGACTGAAGTCATGCAGTATAAATTCTTTCTTGTTCTTTGTTAATTCCAAGATTGTTTCTACACCTCTGGGTCCTTTGCATTTCCATGTGAATATTAGAATCAGCTTGTGAATTTCTTGTATATTATATCTTGTTTTTCTAGATTATGTATTTGGCATCTTTTCATCACAGAGCCAGTTATATTAACTGTATCTCTTATTTTCTGTATTGATGCTAGGCCTTTGGGACCACAGAGGAGAAACTGCCCTTCCCCAGCCGGATTCCTAAAATTATAGCTTGACCTTGATCAGACCTTTCATATGCAAACCAACCAGTCCTGATTCTGACTACCTCTTTCTCCTCATCTAACTTTCAAACACATGAAGCCATTATTTTTCCTGTTTTAAATCATCCCAGTGCCAGGTACCACACTAGAGATAGCCTGATAGGTCAAAACCCACGGAATTATTGAAACTTAACCATTTCTAAGTTGTTTACCCTGTCCTGTCTTGCCTTTCTTGGGGAAATTCCAGAAAGATTCTGGCCTAAGTTTTTCTTTCATTCTTCTCTCTGCTTCCTGATCAAACTTGATGAGTACTATATCATACCCTTCTTTTGAGAAAAACTAGGTAGTACATTCAGTGGCATTGACGTTTTCATGTTGGCACTCAAGTCAACTCCATCAATGAAGACCTCACATTATAAGACAGCATTATTAAAATAGCTTTATTGAGATAGAGCTTATATACCATACAACTCACCCATTTAAAGTACACATTTCAGTCATTTTTGTTATATTCACAGGCAGTACATCCACTATAACAATCTAATTACACAACATTTTTGTCCTTTCTTAAGAAGTCATATACTCATTAACAGTCAATTTATATTCTTTCTCCTCCTCCCTCCCACCCTAAGAAAGTATTAATTGATTCACTGTCATCATAGATTTGCCTAATCTGGACAGATACTTTGTATACATAGAATATGTGGCCTTTTGTGTCTGGTTTCTTTCACTTAGCATAGCATTTGCCAGGTTTATACATGTTGTAGCACATATTACTATTTCATGTTTTTTTTAAAAATAATAGTTTATTTTTACATCATTTAAAAAAAACATTTATGCATATATAACGGGTACAGGCTAGAGGTGCAGGGGTGGTGAGAGGATTCATCAGAGACACAGTGGGGAGCAGAACAGTCAGATTGATGAAGTACACTGCTGAGGGGAGCAGTGGGTGGGTCAAGAGAGGTCTGCCGCACCATGTGGGTCACCTCCGGGGCAGGGAATCAAACTCAGGCTGAAGCTGCGGCCAGCTTCCCAGCACTGCGCTTTAAATGGTTGTGCCACCAGGGAGGGCCCTATTTTTTTTTTTTTTTTTGATTTTACAGTTTATTTTTACATCATTTTGTACATTCTTTTTTCCATCTCAATCGTACCTATTTTTTTTTTAAAGATTTACTTATTTATTCATACAGAACTGGGGTACAGGCCAGAGATGCGGAGAGTGAGAGGATTCACCAGAGACAGAGTGGGGAGCAGAACAGGCAGATTGAGGAAGTACACTGCTGAGGGGAGCAGCGGGCGGGTCAGGAGAGGTCTGCCACTCCACGTGGATCTCATCCAGGGCAGGGATCGAACTCATGGGGGAACTCATGGGGAAGTGGCATAAGCTTCTTAGTGCTTTAACCCATTGCGCCACCAGGGAGGGTCGGAGGGCCCTATTTTTCCATCATTATGTGCATTCTTTCATCTCAGTTGTAATCCTGATGGGCTTCCCATCACGAAATCACCATGTGCTATCACCATAGTCTGGTGCATTTCCTCCCTCCTGCTGTTTTTGATCCCATTCCTCACTCCACCCCCATAAAATGTCTGGTATATAGCTGTTCATTATTATTGTTATTTTCTTACCTGGTCCTTTATACTCCTGCTATGAGTGAAACCATCCGGTATTTTTCCTTTTCATTCTGGCTTACTTCACTAAACATATTTCATGCTTTTTTTTTTTTTTATGACAAATAACACTCCATGGCTATCCCATTTCTGTTTACCCACTCATTACTTGATGGACATTTGGGTTGCTTCCTTGTTTTGGACCTTACGAATAATATCGCTCTGCATATTGTTATATCTGTAGATTCTGCATGGTCATGTTTTCATTCCTTTGATTATAACCTAGAAGTAGAATTCATATACTGTGGATTTTGGTACCAGCTATGCTTATATATTATTTGGGGAACTGCAAAACTGTTTTCTAAAGAGGCTATACTATTTTTCATTCCTACTTTCAGTGTATTAAGATTCCAGTGTCTTCACAACTTTATAGGTACTTGTTAGTGTCTGCCATTCTGGTGGATGTGAAATGTTACCTCATGGTGTTTGCATTTTCCTTAATGACAGATGTGGCTGACCATCACTCCATGTGCTTTGTGACCATTTGTGTATTGCCTTTGGAGAAATGTCTGTTGAGATCCTTGTTGGTTTTGTTGGCGTGACTTGCTGTTTTATTTTTGAGGTGTAAGAGTGTTTTATAATTTGGATACTAGTTCTTCATCACATGTGTAATTTGACTTTTTATTGTGGGTTTAGTTAACTCAAACCTGACACTTGTAAATAAATCATCTCTAGTCATGTTTGATGTTTTTATATTCTTTATTCCAGTTCTTCAAAGTTTCTATCCTACTTTGACACTGTTACCTCTTACTATCTGTCCTTTTCATATCATGGGCCTGTTCCAACTTGAATCTTGCCTCTTTTCAGACCAGTCCTTTTTCCTTATGACTTTTATTATCTGACAGGAAACATCATTTTGCCTTCATCTTTCTTTCTCCTGGAATGTCCCTGTCCTCATTGTCATAACCGTAACTGACCTTTCCTTGGCACCTCAGCTGCCTTGATGGCCCCTCCTTAGCAGAGGGCCCACTTTTTGGCATTTCTCTCTCTCACCCTTCCCCTTCTGGCAGCCTATTCTCTGAGCCTGGTGCTGTTATTTGTGGATATTGAGACTCTTCCCTTTTCTCTCCCCTCTTTACTTTTATCTTTGAACTTAGGTATGTGAATAGTCTTAACTGATTACACTTGGCACCTGTTCAGCATACTCTTGTGCTCAGCTGTCTGTTTTTTTTTAACCCTTGCAGCACCCCACATTTGTTTCTTTCAGTCTAGTGACTTTTTCAGTCATGACAGACTCAGCGCCTTCCTCTTAT